TCATCATCTCACTTTGTGTGTGTGTGTGTATGCAATATATGTTTCCAAATATCAAATAACATTCCTTTCTTTATGTTTTTTTTTTTTGCTTTTCACATTTTGCAAATTGTCATCATCATCATCATCATGGTAATAATGATTATGATGATGATGATGATGATTGTGTTTATTATTATTATCATCATCATCGTCTAGCAAAAAAAATCGTTCATTTTCATTGTTTGCATCAAAAAAAAAAAAAAAAATAAGAGAGAGCGAGAGAAATCCAATTCATATTTTCAATGTTTTTTTGTTGTTGTTGTTGTACTAGCCGTTGGTTGTCGTTATTTGTTTGTTTGTTTCAATATCAGATTTATATATATTTTTTTTTTTGGCGATCGATAAAACAAATCATCAACAGTATTTAGCAATTAGCAACAATCGTATTGATTTTGAAATGAAAAACAATCATTTTCAATACCAAATGTCATCATCATCATCATCATCTATAGACTATAGTTATAATCAAAACGTATCAATCAAAAAATTTGATCATCATCATCATCATCATCATCAACGATTCATTTCTTGATTCCAATCGATTCCATTTCGAATGAAATAAAAAAAACGATGTGAATAGAATTTTGTATTCCCATCCACCATCTTATCCATCTATCTAATTCTAATATTTATGTATATATGTGATTATTACGAAAAATGATAACGATCGATACTATCGATACTTGCTGATGTGAATACTTAATAAACACAGTTATATATTATATTATTCATCACAATATGTATTGCAACAAGAGGGAGAGAGAGAATAATGACTACAGGTCTAGTGATACTGGACAGGAATTTGAAAATCGAAATGAGAAAAAAAAATTGTTTCAAAAAAAACAGCAAACGAAACGAAATTAAACGAAAAGAAAGAAACGGAAACTCATTGAACTCATCATCAAATGATGACTTTAATATATTAACAATTCTCTCTGTGTATGTGTGTGTGTGTGTCTTTTTAAATAGAAAAGCAAAGATGGATAACGATAGATAGATAGATTGAGAAATCAAATCAAATCGTTGAAAATTGAACAGAAATTTTTTTTTTGGTACCAACAATAACAACAACAACAGCAACAGCAACAACAACAATCATCTTGATTCAGACGATTTGATCGAATCGAATCAAATTAAATTGGAAATTGCCTTGCTTTGATCGATATATATGTGATTATTGAATGTGAAAAAACAGACACACACACACACACAAGGGAAATAACAAAAATAGAAAAAAAAAAAATAAATTTAATTCAACTTTCCAATGAAAATGTAAAAATGAAGAGCAAAGCGACTAAAAAAAAAGAAGAAAAATTCTGGACAGTTCCAAAAAAAAAAAAAAATTCAGAGAGATAGAAAGTGAGGGGTCGAATACAAACAAACAAACAAAAAAATTTGGAAAAATTTTGTTTTTGAAGAATGTGCACAGAAAAACTCTCAATTAAGATTAGTGGATTCAATTTTTTTTATATATATATAGGATTTAAAAATGAAAATGAAAATTTTCGTTTCAATTTTTTTTTTTTTTTTTTTGATTCTCAATGTGCATCGTTATTATAATCTTGCTACTATCATACCAACAACGATGATGATGATGTGATCCATTGTGATTTTAGCACAAGCGAAAGCATACACACATACACACACACACCACGTCCTGCTGCGTTTGTTATGTTTCGTTCCAATTGGAACGTACCAAATCAAAACTATAGCTTATTTTGTATCAAATGTTATTGTATTGGCCATACAATGTGATGGAGGATGCGGCCCGGCTATTACTGGAAAATATAGCCAATGATGTTGATTATGATGATTGTGAATGTTTTAAAGTTTTTTCAACAAAATGAAAATTCAATTTTAAAAAATTGAATTGCTCCGCCTTTATTTTTGTTGAAATAAATTTTTTTTTTCAGATGATTCTATTCCGGTGACACGCCCGATAAATAATGGGTGAATTGTATCGTTATTTCAATTTTTTTTGTTTGTTTGTTTGTTTTTCACATACACACACACACACACACACACACACTGCTACCCTCCTTTTTGGACTATCGTTTTTTGACAAATTTTTTTCCTCTTCTCATTTCTGGAAATTGCAATTTTTCTTCATTCTACTGTTTTCTTTCCATGTTTCCAAATAATAAAACACACACACAAACGCACACACTAATAGTGAGAAGAATGTAGCAGCAAATGAATGGATGAAAATGAAAAAAAAAAATTGAAACTCAAAACCAACGATGATCGGTTTGGCTATGGTGAACTGGAATCGCATGTGCCGCATTGCAACAAACAAACAAAATCAGCAGCAAAAAAAAAGTTGATTTTTTTTCATTCGAAAACTCAAACTCGAAAAAAAAATTTTTTTTTGGCAATGCGCATCACATTGCACACAAAAACAAGAATCGACAAAAAAAATGAAATCCAGAAATGTAAAAAAAAATTCATTTTTTTTTCGCAAATTCTGCGGCTGCCTGAAATTTTTTTCATCATCATCATCATTCAATGTGTGTTTAACAATGAAAAAAAAAAAATTTATTTTTCACTGCTGTTGATGGAACAGTTGAAACAGCTTTACAACAACAACAACAACCAGCCAGAGAGACCAGAAAGAGAGTGAGATTGAAGCCAGGCCCCTTTTTTTCATCTATTATTGAATGTGGATCTGGACCATTGTGTGTGTGTATTTTAGAAAATGCGTGGTTTAGTCTTACACAATTCAAAATGTCTGTGTGTGTGTGTGTGTGATGGGTTCTATGATTGCTGGTTTTTTTTTTGAATGTTTCGATTCTCTTGCCAACACTAACATAGAAGAACTATCATTTTTTTCGGTTATTTGAAATTTTTTTTTTCAGTTTTCATTTCATTATAAAATCAACATTTTCATTTGGAAAAAATTTCATTATTTGATCGGTCGTTCATCGGTGATTCGATTCAACATCATTTTCGATTCATCGATTCGGATTCTTTTTGGCGACTGAACTTGTGTCTGTGTGTGTGTGTGTGTGTGTGTGTGTTTTGTTTTTGGCGCCAAACGTTTTTCCAATCACCGATTCATGCAAGCAGCAAATGTGGATTTTTTTCCATTGTCGATTATGATGATTTTAAAATTTTTAAACTGTCTGATTTATCTGTAAAATAAAAATGAAAAAAAAGAAGGAAAGAAATCCTTGTGGTGGTGGTGGTGGTAAGTAGTTTGATTTCCTCACATCAGTGCTTAATTCATTGATTTTTTTTCTGTTTTGCCAAAACATCCAGAAAATGATGAATAATGACCATCATCATCATCATCATCATCGGTTATGATTGATTCTGGACTGGATACTTGAATCGACAATGACTTGACTCGAACTCGATATGTACAGCAACTGTAAAAATTCTTTTTCTTCTTGTAAATAAATTGTACAAAAAAAAAAAAGATGTAAATATTTTATTTCATTGAAAAAATCCATGAAAAAAAATTACAAAAATCTGGAAAACAAGCCTAATGAGCGCGATATCAAAAAAAACCAACGACAACAACCAACAACCAATAATTTGTAATTGAATAAAATTCTGTAAACAAATATGAAAAATTTATAGTTGATTCGAAATAAAACTAAAAAAAAAAAAAAATTCTGTAGACATTAGTTTCATACACTCACAAACACAGACAAACACAAAATTTCTGTTTTATCCATTTTACTATGCAACTGATATTATATCAATCTGATATTATGATTATTCTGAAATAAATAAAACAAAACATTTCAATCCATGTAAATGTTTATCTCATTTCATAAGTCGAATTGAAGATTGAAATTTTTTTTTTTTTGATTTAAAAAAATCAAGCTTTTATCGCCATCTATCGATCGTATGATAAATTATTTCATCAAATTCAATGAAAGAGAATGCAAAACAAAAAAAAATGTAAGAAAAACCTGTTGGTCATTTTAAAAATCATCAACAACAACAACAATAACAACTACGATTAGTAGTATATCATATTATATAAAAGTTTCTGAACAATCATTATAACAACAACAACAACAACGCCAACAACAACAATAAAGAAAGAAATGAATGAATATCATTTCTAAACGAAATTGTACTATGCGTGTCTGTTGTATTTATATACAATGAATGATTGTTCAAACCTAATGGACAATGACGATCATCATCATCATCGTCTTTGTCAGCATCACGAAAATGAATAATAATAATGATGATGATGACGATGACGATGATGATAGTAATGTTTTTGATGTCGAATATCGTCGTACCATTGTATTTTTTTATGATCCAAAAAAATGCTGTTCCATCATCATCATCATCATCGAGGTAATCTCATTGACAACCATCACCACCACCACCACCACCACCATCACTGCAAGCAGCAGCAGCAGCAATGGAAAACAAGTGTTTTTTTTCAATGAATTTCAATATAAAAAAAATGCAATTCCTAGTGGCATTAGCTGAGCTTTTTTTTGCTGTTTTAAATTTCTTTTTTTTTCTCTCTCGTTCTCAATCTCATACTCTATATCACATTATTATCCATAATGTTTTTGTGTGTGTGTGTGTGGATCCATTTTGGAACTAAAGTGCAACATAATTTTGAGGAAAAATCAAAGAAAGAAAGAAAAATGATAATGATCCGATAGTGAAAGAGAGAGAGAGAGAGAGAAACATTTTATATGATGACAACAATAATTCGAACGTTGATTTTTCAGATTTCTGAATTGCTCATTGTTCAAAAATTCATATTTTCTCTCTCTATCTCTCTCTGTGTGTGTGTGTGTGACTCAACAATCATCAATGATGTCTGATCATATGATTTTTTTTTGTTTTGTTTTCAAAACAATCAATGATCGATGATGATTGACATGAAGAAAATGGCAACAAACACCTGATTTTTGTTTCTGATTTCTTTCGTTTTTTTTCTTCTTCTGAAATTGATTGACATATATTTCGTTTTTTTTCATCTTTTGATGAATTTGCACCTGTGCCTGTGTTTGTGTGTGTGTGTGTGTGTGTGCGTTTGTTTGTTTGTGTATCAAAAGTAGAGCTAACCTGAACAAATCATTCAACCATAACCAACCAGTGAAACAACGACAAAAAAAACAAAACAAAGATTACCTAGTTGAAATTGTCAATTGTACCTGTGTGTGTGTGTGTGTGTGTGTTTGTATTATTTTTTTTTATTGTCATTTGCAACTAATTGTCCAGAAAAAAATATTGTTACTCTAAAATACAATCGTTTGGTTTCTTTGGGTGTTAGCCAGCCATTCAGCAAGTCAGCCAGTCATTGTTTGTGTGTGTGTGTGTGTGTGTGTGTGTGTTTTTACCTGTGTGTTCCAAATTTATTTTTCAGCTGTTGTTTTTATTCGATTGATTTATTGTTGAAACAACGATCCTAAACAACGTGGACAACGACCATCATACGACGATGGAAGATCAAACATTTTTATTCAAAGTTATATTGATTGGTAATTCTGGTGTCGGTAAAACGTGTTTAGCAAGACGTTTTATTCAAGGCGAATTTCCCGTAAATAAAGGTGCAACAATTGGTGTGGATTTTATGATTAAACCAATGATTGTAAATGGTATGTAGTGTTTTGTTTTGTTTTGTTTTTTTTCGAAAGTGAAAAAAACTACTACATTTTTTTAGATGAACAAAAAAAAAAAAAATACACCCACACTATATACATTAATTAACATTTTTTTTAACGAAAATAAAAAATTTATTCATATTCATTTCATTTCATTTACCTTGATTTTGTTGATAATTTTTTTTCCGATTAAAATCTTTCACTTTTATTACACCCACTCATACACATACACAGGTATACGTGTTAATCTACAGCTCTGGGATACAGCAGGTCAAGAACGTTTTCGTGCCATAACGCAATCATATTATCGTAGTGCACATTGTTTAGTACTAGTATATGATATATCATCACAGCCATCATTTGATTCCTTATCACAATGGTGTCGTGATATTGAAAATTATACCACCTGTATGTATTGTATTCATTGATCGATTGGTTTGTTTACACAATCAATCAAACAAATCTAAAAAAAAAAATGTTTTTTTTACTAATCATTTTCTGCATATTTTATTTCAGCATCACTAGATGGCGGTACACACGTACTACAAGTTTTAGTTGGTAATAAATGCGATAAAGAATCCGAAGTACCGACCAAAGTTGGTGAACAATTTGCTAATAATCATAATTTCGATATGTTTATGGAAACTTCTGCATTACAATTGGATAATGTTAATCAATTATTTCAAGATATTGCACAACGTTTAGTGGAACGTAAATTATCAACAATGCCACCAACGATTGATTCAAAACAAACCAATAATCATCATCAAAATGGTAATAATCATACCTCATCATCATCATCATCAACAACAACAAACAATATATTAATGAATGGATCAATTACCGGTGCATTTCGTTTACAGAATCTATCACCAACCATACAAAGAATACGAACAAATTGTTGTTCATCAAATTGAAATTTTTTATTCTTTTGTTGTTGTTGTTGTTATTTTTTCTTTATTAAAAGGTGGCAGCACTTTCTTCAATTTAAATTATTATAACCAACGAATCAGATTAGTACCATTTTGTAAATAAATGTATTGTGTATTGTATAACAAAGGGAATGAATTTTACACATCTCAAATTGCAATTTATTATTTTGTTGTTGTTGTTGTTGTTGTTGTTCACTGTAAATTTGAACAAACAAAAAAAAAACTTTGTTCGTTTACTGATAAACAAAGAAAAGCAAAAAAATAAATAAATAAAAAATAAAACTTTCATGGCCATTTCGAGTGGATAAAGTTTTTTGTGTTTATTTTACTTCTGCTGCTGCTGTTACTGCTATTTATATACTGTTTAAAATGAATGAATGAAAATAAATCTTTTTTTTTCTCTCTGGTCGCCAAATGATTTATAAAACACGCAATCATCAGTTTTTTTTTTTGGTGAAATTAAATTCAATTAACCATTTAAAGTAATATCAGAGTAGTCTCGTTTCATTCTGGTGATTATTTTCATTTTTTTTTTTTTTTTTTCAAACTGATCATCTGAAAACAAGATTCATTTGAAATTGTTGAAAATAATTTATTATCATCATCATCATCGATTGTCACCCGTACAAGAAAAAATTTTTATTTTTTCCATGATTCTAATGGCTTTAATAATGATATTCACTGTTTCCGGTGGATAGAATGTGTATGTGTGTGTGTGGTGTGGGTGTGTGTGGAATCCAGTTGAACGGAAATAGCATTGAAGCAAAAAAAAAAAAACAATGAAAAATGAAATCAAGACCCACACAACAACAACAATAATGACAATGACAATGACAAAATTGGCCACGCACACACACACACATACACACACAGACACATTCTATTCACAAACTTTATCTGTTTCTTTATCACTGATATATTCTAAAAGTTAAAATGATGGATAATGATGTTGGAATGTTGATAATCAACAAGCAAAAACAAGAATCAGAAAGAAAATAAAAATGGGAAAAACTTTTTATTTCAAGAAAATGAAAGTTTTTTTTCCCGTTGTTGAAAAAAAGCTTTCTCTCATCAACTCCACTTTTGCTCTTTTCATAAACAATCCATAATTAGTCAGCAACAACAACAACAACAACAAAAGCATAAACATCTGATTTTCAAAAAAAAAAAAAAAAAAAATGATGAGACAAACTGATGGTTGACACTCTTTAGTATAGTAGATTATAGTTGAAAAGAGAACAAAAAAAAGACTAATAAAAACACACACGCTCACACTATAATCATCATCATCATTATCCTAATCATCATCAATGTGTTTACATCCGGAATGAAAAAAAACAACAACAACAACATTTTGTGGTAATTTAACAAGGATATTTAACTAAAAAGAAAGAGCAAAAATTAACAATATATAGCCACGATAACAACAACAACAACAACAACAATAATGATAAAATGTTTTGATGGCCAAAAATAAACAAACTGAAAAAAAATTGCTGTGTTGTGTTCCATGTTTCAATGGATATTGGAAATTTACCACTAAAAACTACCATTGCTTAAAACTAGTGAAAAAAAATGCAATTGGCCAATGGAACAAATGAATGAATAAAATTCGTTTTTTTTTCTTTGCTAATGAATCAATTCTCAATTGGTCGTCTTTTAATCATCATCATCATCGGCGTCGTCGTTTGGTTTTAAATTGATTTTTCTTGAATGCATAAAACAAGAAAATAAACGATCATTTCGTTTCGATTCAGCCATACTGATGAACTAAACAAGCAAAACAAAACAAAACACATTAGAAATGTCTGAAATAAATTCAAATTCCCAAATGTCCCAAATGAAATCGTTGTTGTTGTTGTTGTTGTAGATATTATCGTTGATTGAAATAAACAAAAAGAATGAATCAATCGAACCAAACGAGAAAAAATCCAAATGAAATTCCATTTTGTTTTCAGAATATTTTAACACTTAAAGAATCAAGAACAACAGAGAAAAAAAATTAGACCAATGAAAAGAAATTCTTAATGATTTTAGCACAAATCTATGGTCGATGTTTTTGTTGTCGTTTTCAATTTCTCACTTGAATTGATAATTCTTCATCCGGACCCGTACAATCTAATATTTTCGATTCAATATTTGAAACACTGACGGTTGTCGTCATAGTCATTATTTTCGAAAACAAAAAAACAAAAAACAAAACAAAACAAACACACATCCGATCACGAATGATGAACAGAAAATTGAAATGGAAAAAAATCCCAGAAACAGAATCGAAGAAAGAACAAAAAAAAAAATTAAAGATTACTTCCTACAACAACAACAACATCGAAAACAGAAGAGCAGATAATTTTTACGATCTGTTTGACATCTTAATCATCATTAACATTATCATCATCATTGAATCATAAAAAATAAATGGCATAATAATAATCATCATTAACAATGGAAATAGTAACAACAACAACAACAACAACAGCAACGAATGTTTTCACATGTTATGGATACGTAGAAAGAAAGAAAGTAATCATGATGATAATGTGTTTGTGTGTTTATATTATTATCGTTATATTGCAGTTATTCCATTGTTTTTTTTTGTTTTATTACATTTCTTATTCTGTAGGTTTTTTTTCCTCTGTTCGTTGAAAAAAAAACCTACAGAATCTCATTATCCTTTTATACGCTATTTCTTTGTTTCATCATTTGACGTATGTGTAAAGAATGAGGTGTGAGTGAGTGAGTGAGTGAATGAGTGAATTTTTTTTTGAATTCAAATATCTTGATCTTATATTATACAGTTGAATGATTCAATTAATTTTCAATCAGAGAGCTTTTTTTAGACTTGAAATGGTTCACGATTAGGGTTGATCATCATGTGATGTTTTTTTTTGTATACGACAGGCTGCCACGAGAGCCAACACTTTTTTATGCATGCTCAGTCTGTCAGTCTGATGTATTAAAATTTTTCAATAAATCAACATCGAAAACTTTTGAGAATTCAGTCTTAATTATGGCCAATATTCATTCTATCGATCTCAAGATTGTTTGTCATTTTTCATCCAACTGTTGAACACATGGAGCTGATAAATCCTAGTTCCTATGGAAAGTTTTTGCCAATACTTTTACAACATGGAATATATATCATGGAACAATTTTATTCATTGAAATTAATGACAAAATTATCATTTTTTTTGTTTTATAAATCATATAATTCAATTCAATTTATATATAATTGTTGGCAATTATAACAAAAACATAAGGGACAATGCCGCGCGTGAATGTGGACCATCATTTCGAACATCTATTGGCTCAAAAATGGAACCAGGATGATAATGTTTCAGCCGTTTTATGTGATTGATAAAATTTTTTTTTTTTTTGAAATCTTTTCAATCTCGATAGATTCGTTGTATTTTCAATTTTTATTTGCTTCCAATAAAAATATGGTATATAGGCTTTTCTTTCTTTTTTTTTTGCACGATAAAAATTCAATTCACAATAGACTTGAAATACAATATATATAGCTGGTAATCTTGATCACTTTCATTTTCATTTTTTTTTTTTGGTAATAATTTCAATTACGCCATTCAATCATATGTTGCCGTGAATCGAAAAAGAATAAAAAATCCGAACATAATAATATGAAACCAATGGCTGAATTGATCAACGTTACACGTATCATTGTTTCATCTTCATCTTCAAACACATTCACTGGTCTTTTATCTTTGATTGAACGAAATTCTAACATATAAATCAATTCATTCGGTAATGGTAGCTGAATATTCTGTAAATTATTCTGAAATAATGGTATTGTAAATTTTGTTATTGATAATAATTTATTTTGATCATTATCATCATTCACATTATTATTGTTATTGTTTAACATCGTCGTTGATTTAAGGCCTTTTTGTTGATTAACATTACTACTACTAATATTGCTGCTGCTATTTTGTTGTTGTTGTTGCTGTAATTGGCTATAATAATAACGTAATTGTCGTAAATTTGCACGAGTCATTATAAATGTTTGTTTTGTTTGTTGCTGATGGTGGTGGTTGTTCTGTTGCTGTTGTTGTTGTTGTTGTTGTTGTTGAAAATGCACGACATGGTTTATGGAATGCTAAAAATGCTGTATAAAAGGCAAAAAGGGCTGCAAATCCCATGATTAATACCATCTAAAATCAAGATGAGAAGAATTAACCAAAAACATGGAAAAATTTTTTTTTTTCTTACTTACAAGTAAAATAGTCATCACTTTAAAATCTTCATGTTTTGGCACAATATTTATACAGCCAAACAACATGATAATGATTGACCAACAACCGATTGCCGTATGAAATATTTGTAATGAATCATAATAATTTTCAATGAATGATTCCATTTCTTTTGCAATGGTGGTCTGATTTTTATTGCGCAATGATTTTGTCGATATTTCTGTTCCAGTTATCGGTTTAGTAGTCCAACGAGATAATTCTTCACGAGGCAACAACGGTATCTGACAGGGTTTATGATCCAACATTAGAAAACAGGCAACCATCGATAACTTTATTTTACATAAAGAGGAAAAAACGAAATGAAAAAAATTTGTTTTGCAAAAAAAAAAAAGAAAAAGAAATATCAGATATGAACAGCAGCACAAGCACAAGCAGCACAACCAGCAGCAGCAATGCAAACGAAATTGAAATTTTTTTATTTTTATTTTTATTATTCAACAATAAAAAAAAATCAAATCAAAAAAAAAGAAAGTGAGAAAATGAAAAACGAAATTGAAATTGAAATTCACACGCACGCACTCACTCACTCACTCACTCACACGCATAAATCGATGTGAATGTGAATGAATGTGAATGTAGCAGCAGCAGCAGCAGCAAAACGAAGAAGAAAAAACATTTGTAAAGCGATGAATTTCGAGCAAAATAGAAAGAAAAAAAATTTAATTCAATGAATTTTGCAACGAACCAAAAAAAAAATGAAAATGAAAATGAAAATGTAAAGAATTTGCAAAAGAAAAAAGCTCATTTGTGATAATATGATCATTATCATCATTACAATGTATAATAATTTTTTTTTCTTTTCCTGTTCATCTTGTTCGGGTTATATTATTCCGGCCATTCCATTCCGTAAACACAGAATGATGAAATGATGTTGGAATCTCTCACTATGTGCACTATTTCGTTATTATTGTTCATATTATTTTTTCAAAAGAAACAAAAAAAAATAGCTTTTCTATATGCTTTGACATTGATACATTAACTCTAACGAATAAATTTTTTTTTTATTATTATTATTAAGTTTAGCATCCCTAAAGCTAATAATAATAACGATATATAATATTGTATATGGTGTAGTTAGTGATATTGAATAGACCAAGAGATAATCCTGGAACATTTTTGTTTGTTTTTTTTTTTTTTTTTTGAGAAAAAAAATTTTTTTTTTCATTTCAAATAAACGACATACCAATGAAATGATGCCAACTAATTCATGGAACCAAGTTCGTTTTCCATAGCTTGAAGCCATTTTGAAACTGATGATAAAGTTGGTCTTTTTTTTTCTTTGTCTGTCTGTTTGTTTGTTTGTTCCGTAAAATAATGACGACAATGATGATGATAGGAATTTTTTTTTTTTTTAATCTTCAAAACAATAATAATGGTATGTGCGCTGTTGCATTGTTTTGTTGACCGATGACAGTTTTTTTCTTTTTTCTTTTTTTTTTATTCTATGTGAAAATTTTTATGTTGCACAGAAATTTCGTTAATTGTATGGCTGTGTGTATGCAAGTGTGAATGAATTTGAAAACTTTTTTTTGTTTTGTTTTGCCACCATCATCTCATTTTGATGATGAATCAGTTGAAATTTAGAAATTTTTTTTTTAAATTTGAATGTAAATCACTGTGAACTTGTTAAATTGATTCAAAATATTTTTTTTTGTTTCAATCACGTGAACACAACGACAAACAACATCAGCAAACGCACACACACACACACACACATCACTTCAGCATTCAATGAACGTTTTGTTTTTTGTTTTTTGTTTTGCACCATCAAACATAATGCATTGATTTTTTTTCTGCTTGTTAGATTAATGAAATAAATGATGATGATGATGATAATGATGGCCACTGATCATTGACCAGGAAAAAAAGAAAGCAAAAAAAAAAAATCTAAGCTACAATCATAATGATAAAGTGAATTGGAAACGAAAAAAGAGAATAAGATTTGAATCAAAGTTAATGCCAAAAACAAAAGAAAAAAGAAAAAATGCATACGTGCATGAGAAGAAAAAGAATGAAGAACCAAATGAAATCCGTCCGTTGAATTACCATTGAGTTAGTGATTTTTTTTTCTTTTCGTTTAAAGATCACGATCGAATCATGATTCTTGTTGAATGAAATGAACTAAACCCAAAACTGACAAAATTGACTTGGATACTTGAAATGTGTTTTACATCATGTGAAGAACGAACACCGACGTTGAAGAGGAATAAAAACGTATTGTTGAATTTGACAATTCATTCACAAAAATATAACCAAATATATACGAAAAAATAGCTGTGTTTGGACTTGCGTTGTTGTACGGTATTCTGTTATATATGTATGGCGCCAATATAAAACATTGAAAATACGGCGCGCCGTCTCCATTATTTCATAGATATATCAAAAAAAAAAAAAAAAACAAAGTTAGTTAGTCAAGTTGACGATGATGATCACTCAAATATCATATCATCAGCTGTAAATCATGTATCTGTCTGGTGTATATGTTTGTTGATGAACCGCCAAATCAATTAAAACCAAAAATGAAAAAAATTTTTCAAATTTTAAGTTTACAGCACAAAATCATTATTTTGTTGTTTTCAATTTTCATTTTTTCGTTCATTTAAAAATTTCTTTGGTCTCGACGACCAAAAAAAAAAAAATGCCTTAAATGATGCCATTTAAATGTGGGCGAGTGGGTTGATCGTAATCGATAATCAATAAAAGCCCGAAAAAAATGAAATGAAATTTCTCTCTTGGTTTTTGGTTGTTTTTCCGTTGCAAAAAAGAAAAAAACATTTCCCGAACAAAAAAAAATCATAATCATTATCAATGAGAGAAAAAAAAATGTGATCATTTTATTTTCTTTGTTTTTCCTTACAAGATACAAAACAAAAAAATCTTGGCTGATTTATTAAACTTTTTATTGCCATTGTAATTGTTGTTGTTGTTGTTGTTGTTGTTATTACTATTGGTGTTCCAAATGGTTTCGTTTTTTATTCGGGTAAATGGCTAATCGATAAGCTAACATATAAGGATTAGTCTCTCTCTCTGTGTATGGGTGTGTGTGTGTGTTAGTTTAGTGGCGCCGTACAGGAAACCAAAAGACCAATTTGAAACATTCGATGGGAAAAAAAATTCAATCAATCGAATCCAATTGCTAAATATAGACATTTTGTGTGTGTGTACGTTTTCTTCGGTAATAAATTTTATTAGCTAGTCGACCAATTTTTTTTAGCATTATATCTGACTTTGATGTTAACTTTTTTTTTATCAATGGATAAAAAAAACAATGAAATGCAGACCAGATTCATATGTGTATCATTCGAATGTCTCGAAAAAAACCAATTGTGTACGTTGATTGAATATGAAGGTGAAAAGAAAAAAAAAAAAAAAATTTTCGATTCAAAAATGGAATTTCATCATCCTAGAGATGGCCAAGTATTTTGGTCACAACAACAACAACAACAACAACGGCAGAAAAATGCCATTGCAATGATTTGAAAAGAATTTCGATCCATTTGGAACACACACACACACACAGAGGAAAAGTTTTCAATCTTCATAATCATCATCAACATAGTTATTTGTAACCATGGATATTCTAGCGAAAAAAAAGAAGAAAAAGAATAAAAAATCAATGAATTTGATGATGCTTATTGGAGCAATAAATCTTTTTTTTTTATTCTGTGGAGATTCTTCTTCTTTTTTTCGATTAGTTGTAATTTCATTTATTTATTTATTTATTTATTTTTTTTTTTTTTTTTGAATCCCTAATAATAATAATGTATATTGATTGAAAATCGAAATGGAACGGAATTTTTTCGTTTTTTTTTGTTTTCGTTCATTACAAATCAAATGTCCAACAACAACACATCGTTATCAACAAACAAACAATTTTTTTGTTGTACCACTGTCATCGATGGACATCAATTTAATCGATAATGATTTATTTATCGATGAGAGGGTGAAAAAAAATCAATAATTTTTTTTTTTGCTTTTTCGATCAAAATCATCACAGATTCATCACTACATCCGATTACATATATATATGAACACGTGATGATGGAATTTTCTATCGTGTGAAATCATTTAAAGGCGCAGAGTTTTTGTTATGGAAACAAAATATTCTGGGAAAAAAAATCAGTGATAAAAGAAGCAACTTGAAAATGGCAAAATAAAATGAAATTACGCCAACAACAACAACAACAACCCAATGAAATTGATGACTTTTTTTTCTCGCTCCCTCTCTCTCTCTCTTTTCAATTATTATTTGGGTATTTATTTTTTTTCTTTCACCAAACAACGTCGACGACGACGACGAAAAATAAATTAAAATTTTCTCTAGAACGAATCATTTAAGGAAAAAAAATTCGTTGTATTTAAATTCAAATCAAAAGAGAAAAAAAAGCCACCTAATATAGATGTTTACATTAGAAATGTAATGCAAATAAAAAAAATGATGATGATGATGATGAAAAAAAACAGAATATATAGCCCTTCGACAAACCAACCAATGTCCACTGTTAATTTTCACATCATCAAATACACACACACACACACACATTGCTGGCCATTTGAAACCAAAAAAAGAAAAAACGGTCAACTTTGATCATGAAATGTGGTGATGATATGATGGAAAATTTAAAAAAAAAAAAAAAATCTTAATAAAATACAAATCAAATGTATTCAATATATGAAGTAGTAGCAGTATAAATATATAAAGAGAAAATTAAAACTTGATGATTGATTGACTTGGCTATTTGGCTATGAACTGTGAATGATGATGATAAGACAGACATTGAAAATGGAAATCTAATCGATTTGGTGTTGTTTACGTTTCTAGATGCTACTACTGTCATGCTGTCATTGTTGACTATTTTTTTTTTTTTTTTCGTTACGGTTTTTTTTCAGCTTTGACATTGGATTAAACAACAACAACAACAAAATGGATGAAGAATATAATATTCTGCATCAACGCATTTGAATTGAATTCGTTAATGTCGAATTTTTTTTTCTTTCTCTCTCTACTGGATTGTCTTGTTGTTGGTATGGATCTGACACTGATGACATCAACACACACACACACACACCCAAACATACACATACATGGTTTATTTAAATGACAATTTGATGGACGAAAAAAAAAATTATACCAGATTTTTAACACATTTGGTCAATAAATAGACAAACAAACAAACAAACAAACCAATGAAAAGTGAAAATAAAAAGTTTATATTAGGACATCATTCATCAAATGGTAAAAAAAGAGAGAGATAGAGATAGAATCCAATTTCCATATATTTATTTCACTCTCGAATTCTTGACAATTTTCATGTGACAGAATAAAATTATCATTGACCAAAATAATCACTTGATAATCTGTAGTTGATATAAGAAATATTAACAAAAAAAAAAAATTGAAAACCAAATGATCCAGGAACTGAGAATCGTGAAAAAAATCACCATTTCTATCACATTTTTTTTGGTCTGATTCATTTGTTTAAAAGTTGAAACAAACAAAAAAAAAAATTTCTCTCAGATGACAAAATTTTTAAACACACAAATGTTTTATTTTGCATCAAAAATGAAAATTCATGATCACATGAAAACATTTGTCACACATTTAGCGTTATTTTTCACTGCTCATTTGCTCATTACTTAATTTGATTTTGAAAAATTCTTTTCTCTGTATCTCTCTCACTGTGTGTGTGTGCGTCTTAGCCATATCAATTCAGAAAATTAATTTTTTTCACTTATTCACTTTTCCATTGCGAACTGTTTTTTTTTCAAAATCATCATCATTATAACCAGCCACGGCGAATAAAAAGAATGATGATGATCCAAACAACGAGAAAAAAAAGAAAATTCTTATCATTCATAGTTTGAGGCAACCAGAAACGACAAAAATTCTTGTTTTAGAAATGAAAAAAAAAAATATAATTACATGATGCATGCATATAACGTAAGTGTGTGTGTGTGTGTGTGTGTGTATATTTTTACATAACCAATCGCCAAAGGCTCAAAATGTGTATGTACGCGCGCAAAAAAAATAAATTCAATTAATAAAAATTCGAGATAATTCTGAATTTTTTTTTGGTTTCGCCCGTGTTTGAAATTCATGAACTTTGTATCCAACCGTGGAAATAGATGAGAAATGGAAAAAATTTTTTCACGTTTTTTGAACTCATATTATTCACACACACACACACACACACACACGGATGATGATGATGATTTATTTGACTTTAGATTCAAAATGATCAATACCAGCATAAACAAAACAAACGGGCACGGGTTTCAAAATGTTTTCTTGTTTCTCATGGATAAGAAAATTTTCATATTTTTTTTCTCTGTCGTT